ATATATATATATATAATAGAGGAGTTAATAATTGAAATTAACCTTTTGCAAAGTGATTGAAGTGTCCAGTTCAATACGTATACCAGGACCACATACAAGACATTCCTTGTCCCTTTCAAATTCTGCCACTTCAGTATGGAGGCCTTCTGATCCATTATACCTACAGAGGTATAAACCGATCAATAATATTTATAGCCAAGAGCCAAAAAATAATAAGATGAAAGACATACGTTAAATAGTTAGACAAAGTTTTGCTGCACTCTGATGCAATCTTTAATGTTTCCAGCACACAAGCAGCTGATATAATCGCATTTGTTGAAGCTATAGCTGGTATGATGTTCTTCACAACACCCTAATAAAAGAAATAATTTTCAGGGAAAAAGGCAAATACAGTTGACTATCACAAGAGAAAACCCAATAAACAAGATAAACACCAAACAATTCATAGGAACATCATTTATACAAACCACACAGGAACTCAGAATTTTGCTGGGGTAACTAGCATCCTTAATCATCTATATACCTGAGTTAGAGAATAAGTAACTCCAGGAATGACACGCCCTCTTGACAGCCTGTATAACATAAATAAATAAACTTGTAACAACTATTGATGAGCCAAAAATGTGCATTAAGGGGTCAAGAAACTAACTATGAAATAGTGACTACCTCATCATAAACCCATTTCATATGCTCAGGGTTATCTGGATCAAAAGCCACTCCACCATGAACCTATACATTAAATTCTGGTTTATATAATGAACATTACAAAATAACAGAAAGAATGGACCACTATTCACCTCATTCCACTTAATCAAGTGAGCATATTCAATACAGTGAGCAGAAGTTCTAGGGGTTTCAGCCAGGGTACACAAAGGAAACTTCACTTGAGGTGGGAAAAGCCAGATGGTACACTCAAAGCATGGCGTGATCCCCGGCAAGATCACCCTAGCATGGCCCTTGAAACCCTCAGTCCCACCATCCACCATAGGCTTGATTGTCTCCTCTCGTGGGTTATCATCAGAATCATACTCTAGATTTATCATTAAAAACAAAAAAAAAGAAACTAAAAATTAGCATAAGCAGTCTGCAACAAACATTCAGGACTGAGTGTAGAGGTGAAAATTTTACATAATTGAGTCCAAATATGTAAGAACCAATATAGGTGCTAAGCTAATCCAGAGATCGGTTGAATACAAACTTAAAAGTATTTTTAAGAACTTCTCTACCGATAATAAAAAGTATTTTTCATTAGAGAAACTCTCATAAGTCATAAGTATTCTTAGCTTGTATCTACAGACTCTTTAGCTTATGGGGGAAGCTCGTTTTATTTTTTCTTCTCTTATAACTTATCCAAACAAGGCCGTAGTGCAAAGATAAAAACCTATGCAGGATATATAACAACTCAAGTAGTGAAACAAGAGGGGATATACAATACATAAAGGCAAGCAACAAGCAGTGCAAGTAAACGCAACAGAAAACAAAACAGACCTAGAAAACTACAAGCAACAGTATTGATATAGCTGCGTGCCTCAATGGAATCAAGACCAAGGGCAATAATGCTAAAATCGTTGTAAAACTCAATCTCCTTGTCCTCAATCCTGCAAAAATGCGGCACAATTTGCACACCGCTGATTCTCTCCATGACACGCTTGGCAGCTACCTCGGCCTTGGGTTTGCCAACATCTTCAAGCCTACAAAACAAAGCAAATTAAAAAGAGCAAAACAATAGAAACGAAACGAAGGCGACACGTTGAAAGAGAAACGTGCGAAGCTAACCTGAACAAAAATTGGCGGTTGAGATTAGTGACCTCAATGCGATCCATGTCAATGACCTCGAGGTTTTTGAAACCAGACAAGGCTAAATCCTTCAACAATTCACAGCCCAAGCCACCGGCCCCAACCACCAACACTTTGGCGAAGGCCTGAAGGTCATCACGCAACTGCGAGAGAGAAAAAATAAGGGAAGAGAAACGAAACCCCAAAAAGAAAAGAGAGTAGTAATAGGAATAGGAATAGGAATAGTACCTCGGGGCCAGGTTCGAACCTGGGACCGACGAGATTGCCGGGTCGGAGAAGGAGTTTGTCGAGGTCTCTGGATCGACTTGAGGTATCCGCCATTGCAGAGGGATTTCTTCGTCTTCTTCCCTGCCCTGCCTAACCTTCACCAATCACCACCACTCTACTCTCTATTCCACACTTTTTCATTTTTCTTTTTTCTTTTTAGCTTTCATTTTAAGCTATCGTTGTTCTGTTGGATGCCAAGGTCGTGTGTTTTTATTTATGTGGATAAAAATTTAAAATTTGAATTGATTTATTTTTTTAAATAAAAATTATTTAAATTTAAAGATATAATTTTAAATTTTTTTTATCTAATTCAAACTATAAAATTTATCTCATTAAATTCAATTATAAGAAATAATTAAATACAACTCAAGTTCAAATAAAAGAAAAATGTTATAAACATGATGATGAAAATTACATAAAAATAAAATTAAAAAATAATTAAAATTTTAAAATTTTAATTTTATATTA